TCCATGCCTGGGTTAGTCAGGTGCTGTTTCTCTGCTCCAGCGGGCCCTGTGCTTCCCTGTCCGGCTGCACCGGCAGCGGGCTGGCTCCTCGGCAGCCGGCAGCCAGCACAGGATCTGGCTTGTACTGTCAGTGAGGGTTGATGCCAACACTGGAGGGCATGTGATTGTAACTGCACCTTGGGTACAAATGGGTGTGTCTCTCTGTAGAGAGGAAATGGACCAAGTGGCTGGTGGAGGGAGCCTGAAGCCTGCATGTGCTGCCATGGTCCGCTCACCGCTGGGTTCCCAGCCCGGACAGGACAGGAGAGGCAACCAGACCTGGGTGGGGACACGTCCTGGGGGATACAGATGACTGGAGAATGCCATTCTCTGGAGTAATGACTCTTCTCATCTGTATAGGGAAGAGAACCCTTGTATTTATTAAGCATCTATGTGGCAGGTACATAGTGTCTCATTGATGTATTTATATACCTTTAGAATAGCTCCGTTAATTCTCACGAGAACCCCAGGGATGGTTTTATTTCCATTTTCCAGAAAAAAAAACCCAGAGGCTGAAAGAAAGTACTGATTTACTCAGAATCATATAACTAAAAAATCGGGAGCTGAGATTCAAAGCCAGGTCTTTCTACATTAAAGCCTACTAACTTTCTTAATTTTTTTTCTATTATGAAGCAAATAACATATGAATACTTTATTATAAAAATGTAAAATAATACCAACGTATACACAATAAAACACACAAATCTCTCTTTTCTATCTTCCCCCAACCCACTGTCCTTCCCCAAGGAAGCCCTGTTAGCAGTTTGGCTTGGAACCTTCCAGATATTTTGCTCTTCATCTACACACACATGTGCACACTCACACACATAATGCACACACACAGATGCATGCACACATACACACACACACGTATGTACACACATACAAATACATCCATATACTCCTATAGAGCAAAACAAACAAATACATAAATAAAGCTACTACACTGTAGCTTCATTAGGAAAAAAATAAATTGCAATGAATACTTACTTTTTTCTGTTTTATTTGTAGGAATAATTGTAATTGTTTAACATTTATTGAGCACTTACTGTGTGCCAGATACTGATCTAAGGTACTTTATGTGTACCATTTCATGTGTCCTCACAGGTAGTACCCTGCGTCATCCTTCACTTATGAGGCATTTGGAGCACAGAGAGGTTAAGAGATCCCTCAAGGTCACACAGCTAGGAGGAGTAGAGGTAGAGGCCAAACCAGGTTCTGGCTCTGGAGCCTATGCTTTTAACCATCGCTTGGATGCCTCCACTGATGTCTGACTCCTGTAGAGTCAGGGCTTGGAGGTAACAGAGTGGCTTGTTCCAGTGAACTGGATCATCCTCATTTGGTCCCTGTGGAAGAGTACTGTCTAGTGAAATAACTTCTGGAACATGTCTCCATCCTTATACCAATCCCAGCAATGTCTGCAGTACTCTCACCACAACCAATGCTGCTCACAAGTGAATGTAGCACGAGTTACTACATGGAACAGTGCCTGGAACAACACAAGTACTCTGTTTGCTCTTATTTTTTCTTACTGTGTTGCCTTCATATGCAGTATTTCATTGATTCTTACAACAACCCTGTACGGAGAGAATGGTATCATTAACCCATTCGATAGCTGAAGAACTAAGGCTCAAGTAAGTTGACATGGAGCACCTCATGGCTAGCCTGTGCTTGGAGCTGAGACTAGAACACACATCTTCTGAGGGAAAGGGAGGCTCCTCCCTTCTCTTTTGTACTGTTGTCCCTCCTCTGGGATGACAGGTGTCTTGTATGTGAATACACTGCTTCCTTATCACACATAGTTTTGCATCAGAGTGTTTGTATTAGGAGAGTAGAGCATTGGTGCTCAATGGTGACCCCACACTGAGGTCACATGGAAATATCTGGCTTGGATCTCACATTAAGAGAACTTGAGCCATGGCCGGTTTGGCTCAGCGGTTGGAGTGTCAGCCTGTGGACCAGAGAGTCCTGGGTTCGGCTCCTGCTAGGGGTATGTACCAAAAGAGAGAGAGAGAGAGAGAGAGAGAGAGAGAGAGAGAGAGAGAGGACTTGAGGTTCATTTGCAAGGATTGCAGTTAGCTGACAGCCTTCAGCTGCAGTATCTTCGGGATGGTTCTCGTTCTCCCTGGGCAGCCCCCAGCTAGTGACTGAGCATGCAGGGCTACCAGGCTCTGGCTGTTTCTGCCCAATGGGCTCTGTAATAGTCTTCGCCCAGAGCTCCGTGTTGGTTGACTTTTTCAAATTCGTGTTCCAGGCAGAGGCTCTTCTGCCCAGTCCTGCTTCCTCCCTGCTTTCCATTCACGGTGTCAGTGTGCATTGCAGTCTGAAGGCTTTCTCTGCCCAGTTCTGCTTTCTTCCCTTTTTATCTTCCACAGACATTTACCCCCAGTAAACTGCTTGTACACCCAACTACAATTTAGCATCTGCTTCCTGGAGGACCCAGCCCATCTACTTGGGGAGTTTTAAAAACTACCAATGCCCTCAGAGATTCTTATTTAATTGGTCTGAGGTGCAGCCTGGGTGATTCCCATGAGCAGCCCAAACGGAGAGCCACTGGGACAGAAGAAACGTTGAGAGGCAGAAGTTCCAATTGTTTTACCCTAGAAAAGGACCTGCTTTCTTGCAATTGACTGGGGCCACAACCAATCACTTCTTTAGGTTCTTTTCAAATACAATGGGACCACACTTTGCTTCCCTACAGGCCAATTCAGGTCACTTCTTAACCCTCCAGGTCCTTCCTGCACTGTGAGCTGTTAACATACACAGCAGTTGTGGAAGAAAGCTGGCATTGTGAGAGGCACCTACTGAATTCCGGACACTCTGCCTGATGTTTTATATAACTCAGATGTGTGGGGCATTTACCCACAAACTCATATCCTCATGACAATAAAAGAAGGGTGGAATTTAGGGAGACGTTCAATGGCACTGGTCTGATTATTTTGACCTTGATACAATTCTTTCATACCTTTCTCTAGTCAGGGTTGGTGTTCTGGAGTAGACCTTTAGCATGTGGGACTTTGTGCTGTGATTTTTTTATTTAATTTTTTTTCTTTACTGATTTTAGGGAGAGGGAGAGAGAGATAAAACATCGACGAGAGAGAACATCGATTGGCCACCTCCTGCATGTCCCCCACTGGGGATTGGGCCCACAACCCAGGCACATGCCCTGACCTGGAATCAAACCGTTGACTTCCTGGTGCATGGGTCGACACTTAACCACTGAGCCACGCTGGCCAGGCATGTGCTGTGATTTTTAAGTGCTTATGTACATGCCACCTTCTTCATCAGACCATCCAATAAGCTCCTTGAGGACAAATACCCTGTCCAACCATGTTTACAAACCCAGCCCATAGCACAAGGCCTGGCACAGAGTAGGTCTACATCAAACGTTAATACAAAAGGACAAAGGCACCAAGAACCAAGAGATTACAGCAGGCTTAGTTATTTGAAGAACAGGATATCACCCCAAGGAACGTTCAATACCCAAGTCATTTTGATTGATAACTATATTTATTATTTTGTTATATGTATTCACCAACACTTTTATAGGAATTACTGTGTGTCAGGCACTGTTATAGTGATTAACAAATACTAACTTCATTCTCCTAAGAGCCTTTGTCTACCACCAAGGCTGTGGGACTTCAGGGATGAGAGGGCGTGGGGGTTCTTGGGTGGGTTGGACAGCTTCACAGAAAAGGAGAATTTGAGCTACTGTTTAAAGAATGTGTAGAAATAGGCAGGGAGAGTGAGGGGGGAATTCAAGGTACAGAGAATGGCATGTGTAGAGGAGTGGAATTAGGAGTATTTATTACTCTTTGTGGGAACAGGAATGGCCTGCTGATGGCAGTGAGCCAAGGGCACCAATGATGCATGTCAAGCCAAACCATGTGAAGAAAGGAAGTCATGCTTATAAGAGTTAAAAATGGCACAGTAATTTTTGGCCATCTGTGAGGATAATCACTCCCCTAGGGTTGGAGAGGTCACATAAATGGAGCCTTGGGGAGGCCCGCCCCTTTACAGCGCCCATGCCAAATCACCACCCCGCTTGCCCTTGGTCTGTCTTCTTTTGTCACCCTAAATATCCCCACTTCTGTTCTTCATACAACAGGCCTTCAAAACTCTTCACCGCCCTGCTCATCCTCCTCTAAATGTGGTCCAGTCTGGGTATTTTAGCTCTTATGCTGTGGGGTTTGATTCTCCAGGTGAGGTCTGCCAGCTAGGGAGATGTGTTAACATGTTCATCATTCCAAATACTGTCTTATTAATGAAACCTAGGATCACAGCCTTTTTTTTTTTAAGAATCCGTATTCAACTCCCTATTGGCTAAATATATATTTTTTACTCCTATACGTATACTCAAATGTATGCTATGCCTGACTCCAAAAACTTAGGGAGAGTTGATCATAAAATAAGTAATGCGGGTATTAGAATAAAACAACCTTGTAACTGGAGACTTTTAAACAGCCAAGGAGAAAAAGGCCAAAGGGTATTGTTTGTGTCCTGCTCTTTCTTCAGCCACAGTTTCTTCCTTTATCAAAAGGAGATTTTTAAAAAATCTGAAAATGAGGAAATGCATTTCCAAAAATCGGGGTCAGATCAAACATCTCCTGCTCTGGCCAGTGTGGCTCAGTAGGTTGGAGCATTGTCCTGTGCACCAAAAGGTAGCCAGTTCGATTCCCACCAGGGCACATGCCTGGGTTTCAGGTTTGATTCCTGAAGGGAGCAAGGACAGGAGGCAACGGAGGGATGTTTCTCTCATCTCTCTCCTCTCTCTCTCTCTCTCTCTCTCTCTCTCTCTCTCTCTCTCATCTCTCTCTCTGTCTCTCCCACCTCCTTCCCCTCTCTCTAAAATCAGTAAAAAACGTGTCGTCAGGTAAGGATTTTAAAAAAAGATCAAACATCTCAAGTTTTTGGCAGGACACGTGATACCCATCAGGCCTCTTACAAGGCACCGGCCTCAGGGCCCTGTCTCTTTCCCGCCTAGGAACTCAAACATGACCAGGAAGATCTTCACCAATTCCAGGGAGCGCTGGAGGCAGCAGAACGTGAACAGCGCCTTTGCCAAGCTGCGGAAGCTCATCCCCACTCACCCTCCAGACAAGAAGCTGAGCAAAAATGAGACGCTTCGCTTGGCAATGAGGTATATCAACTTCTTGGTCAAGGTCCTGGGGGAGCAAAGCCTGCAGCAAACTGGAGTGGCGGCTCCGGGAAACATTCTGGGACTCTTCCCCCAAGGACCCCACCTGCCGGACAGGACTCTGCTCGGTGACTGCCAGGTTCCTTCACCCAGCCCAAGCCACCACATTCCTTAGCGTGGCTCCGACTCTCTGGCCCAGGGGAGCACGTGTTCAGAAGTCACCGGCCGCCGACAGCCTTTGCATGTTGCAGCGTCAACGTGAATAATTTGTGAGGCCTGAATTTAAGCTTCCTAGGAGGTGACTCAGGGACAGCTGCAGGGAGCCGAGAGGAGGCCATGAGGAATGTGGCTTTGGATTCCCCCACCCCTGGGGCTTCAGGCAAAGCCACCTGTTTCTGTCTATTTTATATGTCCAAGATCCACATAAGATGTTTGAAGAAAAAACAATTATCATTAAAAACAGGTTTGAAGATCACTGTTCCACTCAATATGTTTTCAGTTATAAGGAAGTAGCATTTCAGATGAGTAGAAAATGCTTCCCTCAGAGCATATTTTAAAGCTTGTTTTGAGAAATGTAGCATATGTGCTCAAGAGTGAACAAAACAAGTCTCCAGGTTGACGAATGTAAAGATAGCCCTTGCAGAAAAAATCCTGGAGCCTTGTGGGGAAATCTGTGGAGAAAAGGCCCTTCTGACGCAGGAGGATTACAAGAACGCAACAGGTACATGTGGAAGAGCTTTGCATCCTTTATCTCGGTAGAAACGTGAGGTGTTACCTGCAATGAGCCAATCCTGTATATGTTAGCTCCAGTGCCAAATGGTGCATTATATCTGTGAGAGGCAAGGACTCGAGAATTTATTAATTAGAGTTCCTAGTTTTCTTTTCTTTATTATTATTTTTATCCTCACCCGAGGACATTTTTCCATTTTTTGTTCAGGTAGAGTGGGAGGGAGAGAGGGGAACAGAGAGAGAGAGAGAAACATCTATGTGAAGGGACACATCGAGTGGCTGCCACCCGCACAACCGACCAGGGCCGGGGACAAACTGCAACCGAGGTACATGCCCTTAGCGGGAACCGAACCCAGGTCTCTCAGGACCGCAGGCCGACGTTCTAACCGCTGAGCCAAACCGGCCAGGGCCCTAGTTTTCTTATGAAAAAACAGTGAGCTGAAATAGGTTATCTAGCCCCTCCGTTTCACATGTCAGGTATTAATACTTCTAATTCAGCCTGAGTTCCTGCTGATTTAAGACCAGTAATACTCAAATATAATTATGAAAATACAAACATTACCATTTAATGACTCATTTAACAGAGAGCCCAATTTAAACAAAAGATTTAGAGTAGACAATAGGGTTGTAATAGCAGACACTAATGAATTAATGAATTTGGAATTTGTCTTCCCTGCTATGGAGCATTAGCTCAGTCTTATGCTGGGAGGGTGGTACCCACAGGTCAGTGGAACATAACTTACCACCACATGCCACCCTGATGATACTTGGACTCAGAGATGAATCCAATATCCAAGCCCAGAACACAAATAATAACATTTGATTGTCTCTGGGACATTTTATTTCTCCAAAGTTAATGATGGTACATTGGTTTTAAAACCTTCTGAACCTCCAGTAGAAAAATGAAGGATTTGCGATTATGGATTTCCAGTGTATACACAATAGAGGAAGTTAAATTTCTTGCCACTCTAGAAAGAAGATATTTGATTTATGAAAGGTTGAAATGAGGCTCTTTGGTTTGGTAATCAGAAGGAAGTTGGAAGAGGCCCCCTCAAAATCTTATTCCCCAAATTAGCAAGGCCATTATGTCATTAAATTCTGTGCAGTATTCACACTTGTATAGCACATTGTGGTTGTCAGAAACAATGGGTCTTTCCTTTAAACTGCATGCCGTAAACTTCCCTGTGAACCCAGAATAGTCCAGGGACACACATAAGCATTTCTTTCTCCCGGGCCTCAGTGGACTTAAGTTTGTCTCCAAACTACCAAAGCTTTGATGATAGTACTCACTGAGCAGCATTACTTACTCTGTCATCTGGCATCAAATCAGAATCACACTTTTAACAGTATTTGTATACTAGCTTCATTTTACCGAGTTGCTGAGGAAGGCACAGAGGCCTGAGGATGGGGTTGTGTTGCTCTGCTCAGAATGAGCGTGTTGTTCTGTTGTTGGGGCCACGGCTGTGTGTGCAGAGCGCCTGTCCACAGAAATGCAACCGAGCGCTCCCAGACAGAGCCTGAGTTATCGTTAAACCATATGAGGGGGAGAATTATTTCAAGAAACGCTGCAGGAAATCCGTTTGATAGAATGAATAAACATTTAAAATATTACTTGATGTAATCGCCTCTTAGAAAATTTCCTTTGCCAGCTTGGATTTTGGCATATCAAGCTGTGTTTGGTAAAAATGACTGTCAGAAGGAATTGTAGGTATATGTGGACCGAAACCTTGGCAAGGTCTCCCTGAGACTGGAAGCTAGTCCAAAAATCACTCTATAGTCTTCCTTGGTGTCCTAAACTCAACGCTTGGCAATTGCAGTAGTAAGAATGTATTGTAGTTCACTGATGGTACATCTCTTTATGGATCATTTGAACCCAACAGAAGAATTTAGAGTATAGATTATATCATTTATGCTACTCTGTTACTTGAAAACAAGTGTTTTATCTGCTATGGACACCACTGGAAGCTTCTGGAATCCAAGTATAAACAAGTCCATTATTTTATATAGGTCATTAGATTGACTAATTCTACTCCTCATGTGACCAAGGAGGAAACAGGTCCAGAGGATTTTGAAGTGACTTTACAGAGGTCACATGGACAGTGAGCGGAAACCCAATGCCGGTCTCCTGACCCTGTGCCCAGCCTTTCTACAGCCTTGTTCCATCACTGTGTATTTTAGGATTGAAAACAGACCAGCACCGTATGATTATGCTCATCTCTTTCCAACAGTGCTCCATAATCTTCTTCTCCGCCTTTCTATTGGAATTGAATTATTGTGCTTTGTAGAATGGGATCAGCAGTATCAACCAAAGATTTTATCTGTTGTTTTGTGATATTTTTACCATTGGTTCTAATGGACTATTTAACTGTTAATTTATTGAAAATAAATTAAGAAAAGAAATTATTCTTTTTTAAAAAAAAAAAGAATTTCATAAATTAACTAAGCACATCCACCCATTCGCTCCATTCTCATAGCCTGTCTTCTGGTTTTGAACCTCCCCCAACCCCAATTGTCTTTAGTCTACAAAAAAATGCTGTACCCCAGCAAACCAGGCCTCTGCAGCCTGACCCCCATGGACCCTGCCCTTTACCTTCCACAGTCTCCTACATGGATTGTACATGCTAATGTAACCACTTCACTGTGCCCCACCCACTGTGCCCCACTGTGCCCCAAGCATGCCCCACTCTCGACTGTCTCTGACTTTACTCTTGTGATTCCCCTGTTTGCAAGAGTGTCCCCATTCTCACTCACCCCCCCAACCTGCACCAAATTCCATTTGCTCAAATCCTTCATGGCCGATCGGAAATGCCACTCCTCCAGGAAGCCTGACTCATCTGAAACACATCTGTTACAGAAAGTCCTCCTAGGTTCCCCCACTCAGTCTGATCTGTCCCTTAGAATCCCTATGTACTTCATAGCACTTACTTCCTCCACCCGGTGTTTCAGATATCTGTGTATATCCTGTCCCCCTGCTCCCCAGCTGAGGTCTCCTTGACACGGTGACAGCTTCTGTCCAACATCTCATCCATAAGACATCCTGCAAGTGACCTCACTTTCAAAATGAGAAAACGGCCCTGGCCGGTTTGGCTCAGCGGTTAGAGCGTCGGCCTGCGGTCCAGAGAGACCCGGGTTCGGTTCTTGCTAAGGGCACGTACCTCGGTTGCAGTTTGTCCCCGGCCCTGGTTGAGTCATGTGGGTAGCAACCACTCGATGTGTGTCCCTTTCATGTTGATGTTTCTCTCTCTCTCTCTTCCTCGCTCTCCCTCCCACTCTATCTGAACAAAAAATGGAAAAATGTCCCCAAGTGAGGATAAAAAACAAAACAAAACAAAATGAGAAAACTATCAGGACTGGCTCTGTTAAGAATACTCCTCTAGCCTCCCCTCAAGGATGACATTGACATGAAACTTGAACAGGCTGAATTTCACTGAGAAACTCAAAATGGAAAGCTCTTCTTAAAGGTTTGTTTCTCACAACATCCATTCAACGTGGCCCTTGCAGCACCGGCCTCATGAGGTTTCGTCACCTAATAATGGCTTGAGGTGACCAAAATATGTCTAAGTTATGCACAACAGGCTTTGTCCTTAAAAAGGCAAAAGATGAAAGGGGTCTGGGAGAATGGACAGCTTAACTGCTGACCCACAGGTCAAAGGTTAGTTAAAAGTCACATCCTTAAATTAAAAGGTCAAAGATAAGGGGGAATCTAAACTCTCAATGGCAGGGCACAGTGAGGGATTTAAAGTGGCAGGTGGTACGAAATGCCAAGGAATGGATGCTGTTAAAGGATCACAATAGGCCGGGGCCAGGGTTTCCTGACTCAACATGCACTTCTGTGACTCTTGGAGTTTGCTGTAAACTCTTTCCATTTTATTTTCTCCTTATTGCTACCAACCTATCACAAAGAGATTTTAATGAGCACTAGATTTTTACATATGCCTTATGTAGGCTTGTAATCTGCCAAATAACTTATACTCTAAGAATTTAATTTCCAGAGCTCAAGAATTCCCTGGTAGTTGAATGAAGCAAGCTGTTGAAATGCCTTTTCTGGATAACTTTAAAAAGTATTCAGTATGAGCACATACTTGTGTCTATATAATTAACCTTCTAGGAACCTATCATAAAGGAATAATCAGGCCCTGGCCGGTTTTGCTCAGTGGTTAGAGTGTCTGCCCGCCGACCAAAGAGTCATAGGTTCAATTCTGGTCAAGGGCAGGTATCTCAGTTGCAGTTCGGTCCCTGGCCCTAGTTGGGGTCTCATGCAGAAAACAAGCAGTCGATGTGTCTCTCTCACATCGATGTCTCTCTCTCTCTCCCCCTCCCTCCCACTCCATTTGAAGATACATGGGGAAAAAAAATCCTCCAGTGAGGATTAAAAAAAAAAAAAGAAATAATCAGAATTAAGGTTGAAGAATTATGCATATGGATATCTATTTCAGAATTATTTACATTGTAAATA